CTAGACTAAAGAGATTAAGTTCCTCTAACCTATCTGTATATGACAATCCACTGAGACTAGGAATTGTTGTTCTTCTTTTAACTGCCTCTAAAGAGGGTTTTGTGATGTGGTGTGGTGACCAAAACCAAACACAATATTCTAAGAGAGATCTTACTAAATGCTTGTAAAGCTTGAGCAAATGATTTAAATTTTTGTTTTGTTATGCTTTCTGTTTGCTTTTTGATTGTTTTCACAAATGCACCCACAGGGATATACTAATCTCTTTCATGTGCAGGCATGTACAGTACTATCATTGAAATTAATTATGCCTTATACAATTACAATTATAATTATCCCTTATACAATTGTTATTAATTAAGCCCTTCTGGATTTAGCCTTGAGCTAGTACTATGGCTTTGTCTGACATATGGAATGGAGGATTGTTTACCAATAGCTGTGCTCTCTTGTGTTTAGATGAAGATGTTTTTTTTATTTTAGGGACACTGTTCTGGTGGCTTACTTATGTCCTGTAGTCTTGGATTTGAGATTGCAGTCTTGGGTTGAACTCTTGTGCTTCTTTACATTTGTGATGACCCTTTTGTCTTTGATAGTGTTTGCTCATGTAGAGCATCCCACCCAACTCTGCTACTATCTGTATATAAAAGATAAAGCCATAAGCTCCTGTAACCTTCCTGAAAGCACGAGTACAATTTAATGACAAAGGATTATATGATCATGGTATTATGAAATACTACAATCTGACAGGACTCCTGTAATTGCTTGAGCTTTCTCATCTGATCTGTGCTGAAGATGTCCTGTGGCAAGGCAGAAACTATTCTGAGTTTATTTGAAATTCTCTGTAATTCTCACTCTAGATTGAACACAGGCCAGAATATTGGTGTTTTTTATAACACTGAGTGCTGGAGTGGGAAAGCTGGAATTTGGTAATAACAGGAGTAAGAGGAGAGAGCAAATTATACTACTATAGATATTCATTTAAATCAACAGATTACAGTACTTCTCTTGTCAACAATGTCGCATTCATTCTACAAGTTCACAAACTTGCAGGGAACATATCGTTTTGTTTTAAAATTGGGCCTTTTTGCCTGGAATAATTGTTTGCTAGTTGTAGGAAACACACGCGCTTTGTGAAAAGGAAATCCAGGCTGATATTCTGGGAAAGTCGCAGAATGGAACTCGGGGATCACTGTCCAAATTGCGAGTGTTCTCCCGGATACTAGAGTCCACTGGAATTGCTCATTCGAAAACAATGCCATGGTGTGTTGAATCACCATCATCAAGATAAAAAAAACTAACCTTTTATATTATCAATATTAAGAAGCAATTTGCCTTACAGACAATAAATATGTTAACTACATACATTTCTAGCATGCCTTTTGTGCATACAGTGCCTTGCAAAATTATTCAGACCTTAGCATTTTTTCCATTTTGTTTCTTTACAGCATAGTTTTGACACTTTGAAGTACCAATTAATGTTTCCCATACACACTGATACTATACTCTGTTTGCCAATTATTTGAAAACTCTTAGAATATTGAAATAAACTGAAAGATCTAATTGAATCCACTCCACAGCACTTCTTCTGCATTATCTGTATCTAAATTAGTAACTGACATTAACCCTATCATGTTCAATGGAAATTTATTTCATCTTGCCTCTTGGGTGCAAAAGATTACGCTAGTTCCTAATTTAACAAACATTGTAATTAGTTTCTGGTTGCAAAAATGTCAGTTCCTTCCCTTCTGCTTCTTTTTGCACATTATTAATCAATGATGCTGCAGGGCTCTTTTAATGTCATACAAATCCAGTGGGTTAGGTGTTTATAAAGGACTAACAGTATTATGGGTGTGTTGAGTACATATTTAAATAATATTGCAAATAGTGTAGTGTGCAACTCTTAATTACTTAAAATGTCCAAAGAAGTCATTCATCACAAAGAATATGTTCCCAATAATTGAAAGGTAAATCAGGCTTTTTCAGTCTATTCTTTCTATACATTCGTCTCACTAATTTGGTTGAAAAACACAAGTAAACATAGTTTTTTCTTAGGTTCATACATCTGCATACATCTTTAAGGGTGTATGCAAATATTTGTGTATTTACTTGAGGGTGTTCAAAATTGTGCCACTGAGGTAATGTTTTTACATACAGTACATAGACAATAGCACTACAGCTCCAGTATTGCTGCATATTTCCGTTTCCAGCCTACAGCCTATAATACATTTCTTTTTCTGCATTATTTATCTGTCCTATTTATATCTTTTCTATGTTGAGTGAAAAGGGATGAAGACTGTTTTTGTATGAGATATATCATTAGAACAGGTCGATTAATGTAGTTATTGTACTTCTGTGGTTTCTATTATAACGCGTTACTTTCAAATTACATAATATGCACAATTTACAAATAGACCAAAAGATATAATCATCATATTTTATATGCTGTACAGTACCACACATAGTGTATTGGTTAGATTGTGGAATGATAAGATAGTTTTGGATTTAAAAACTCTTTTTAGGACAATGTACTGTGCCCAGATTGATATCTAGTTATACAGTTGGGTTTGCGTGAGCAAAATGTACATAAATAAAAACATATTATCATATGTTGAATACAAGTATTAGTATTGGCAGTATGGGACAAACAGTATTTTCAGAATTTGCAGCACTAAAAATACCTGCCCTGTCATGGTTTATGTAACAGTTCCTGGGCACTTTCATGATTGTTCCTAAATTGTACGGCTTATAAACCAAAATGAATCTGTCCCATTTTCAGAGAACAAATGAAAAGCTGAAACCCCTTTAAAAAACTGGAGAGGATTATAGCTTTGTTGGCACAGTGAGATAAATGCCTCATCTCCACTGTGTCTACATTTATAATTCATTTTAGTTTCTGAAGAAAGGCACCACTTTGACAGATGTACCCTCTAACCACCAGAAAAGGAAGGCTCCGTGCTTTGATGAGAGAATTATATAGAGCAGAAGAGAGCTTATTGTGAAGATTTGCCTCGGGACAATTCTAGTTATAAAGAGGTGCCAGGGATTCTCAGTGGTTCTTAATTATGGTCACAAACTGGTTAGCAATGTGTATAAATAAACATTTTGATAGCTCATTTCATTCACAGATATTATAGCTAAAGCAAGTATATCCCAAAATAAATGCTTTAGATTATCATAGCTTACCAGCCAGTGAATTGATTGAAAATCTTCAGTGTAATATATTATATGAAAGATAAATTAGTATCACAGTAATATATGTTCAGTTCAACTCTGCTGTACAAATTGAAATATCCAAATAACATTTTGTCAGATATTCTCACAATTTACACCCTGAAACATCTTTCTGGCACGGCCCTGATGTGTTGCCCCACCTGTGTGACTCCTTTTTGCACAAACAGACGCACTGCACAGCACATCAGGGGAAGGAGAGAGAATTTACTTCATCAATTCAATTAAGCAATGAAAAGTAATGCAAATGTTTCTACACTAGAATCAGCCAACATTTAAATGCATTATGTTGAGGAATTTCTGTTTTGAATTGCTCTGTTTGATGCAGTCAGCATTTACAATTAGAAAAAAAAAAGAATATTGTGCTAAAAAGCTTTATGATACAGGTTTCTTACAAATAACAAACAGTTTACACAACTAACTAACTAGAGTTAAATAATTCATGATTGTCTGTCTTGATTGCAATTTTGGCATCAACTACCTGGAAGGTACAGCAGACCACTAATTGCTGTTCAACATTTGCAGAATTTAAAGGCACATAAAAACTTTTATAAACACTCTTAAAACAAGCAAAAGCACCTGGTATGCATCACCCTACCCACAAACGTTCATGACAAGTGGTCGCCACAAGTTATTATAATAGTCTTGGTGGACTGGTCTTCACGAGCAAAACAATTTCCAAACCAGTGTTCTAATATGGTGACTTTGTACATTTTGCCATCCTGAAGATGTTAAAGTGAGCACCTGACTACATGGTCATTAAAGATGCCAGGCACTGTTTGAAAGCGAAGGGGTGTTACCCTGGTCTCCTAGTTAAATCCCACTCTGGTCTCTGTCCAGTCTGGCCTCACTAAAGGTCTTCTCACTCCCCCTGACCTGCTGTGCAGTGAGGCTGCTGCTGCAGAATGGCTGCTCTGTCACCCAGGTGAAGCTGCACTGCAGTGGGGGGATAACCTGTGTCCACATGGGATTTTTTGTGGGATGAAAAGTTCTAAATAAGGCAAGGAAATATTATCTGTTCTGTCAATGTTGTTTTTTAAAAGAAATTCACTGAACTGGAAAGTCTACTGTGAACAAATTGGAATACTTTTGGAGCATGTATATGGCCGTGTTTTCCCCTTTGTGGGCCCACAATGCAAATATACAATCACCTGTTAAAAGCTGAAGTCGGATAACGTACGTGTATCACGGCAGACAGGGGACAGGGTGGACGCTGAGGTTGTTATTAATAACATAATAAAAAAGAAAGCCATCGTTAACGCCTTAAAATCTGATTTAGTTTACTCCAGTACATTTGTACCACAGTGTCAAAATGTCCAAAAAACCTTTATTGGTATAACACAGCAACACCAGATGTGCCGAAACATTTCACATATGGCTTTGGTACATGTGAATGTGTTCATATTCATCATAAATGTGCTGTCGGAACAAGTGAAAGCGAGGAAATTTTAACATCCCTTGTCATGTCAGAGAGGGCACATCATGCACAGTCTTTTACATGTAATCAGACATTTGTACATGTCACAGTGATTTTGTGGAATTTGTGGACTTCAGATACACTATTCATACCCTGCAGTCCAAATGAATGCATTAGTGTCTTAAACCTTTTGTTTACATGTGTATATGTAACCCACACATAGATTTATGTGGCTTTTATATACTGTACATATGCATGTGCAGATATGTACCTTCAGTGTATGAAGAACAACATAACAACTACTGTATCAAGCACCCTAATTTATTTAAAATCAAAACCCAGTAACATAATATCAGTCACAGTTTTCCCCCACTTCATTTTCCCTTTTATACAACTTCCTCTAGGTATTCAAGTACAACAGCACTGTAATTTAGCCAAGAAAAAATGTCTCCAGTTTTCTGCGTCTCCCTACAGCTCCCCCGGGATTTAAATTTGGGATTGTGGTCTCAGTGCTGGAGTTCCACGCCCCGTGATGGCCAGGTGTGTCAGTCGGAAGCTCCGCCTTACTTTACCTTACATGGCTAGTGTAGGGAGACGTGATTGACAGCGGGCAGCAGCTGCTGGGCTGCCGAGACATGGCGGAGCTTGCAGTTTTGCTGGGGAGCTCTTAGAGAGTTGCGTGACTTTGTATCGGTTCCGTCGGCGAATTAAGGCAAAAAGACCGACCGAAAAGGGCGAAGGCGGCTGCAGCTGTTTACGATGAACGACGTTAGGAAAACGGGAAAAATGTAGGAGTTTTAGGAGCAGGGTAAAAACATGTACTGCTGTTTCTTAGTGCAGTCAACAGCCTTAGGCAACAAATATGGCTACTTGTGTCTCTTTCAATTTGTGATGAAAAGCTGCTCAACTCAGCCATTCATTAGCATGGCTGCGGTGCCGATTTCCTAAAACTGACCACCAAGAAGAAGTTCCTGCGGTATCGTTTTGGCGGTTTTGAGGAATTTAGCCGAGGTAAACCTTACCGGACGAAGCAAACAGAAATGGAACCTAAGCACAAAGAGTTGTTAGATCAATGCCACCAGAACTTATTGGAGTCCATTACAGATGCAGACAGTCTCGTGGAGTTGCTGGGCAAGGCTGGTACCCTCAGCCAGCTGGAGAAGTACGAACTGGACAATAACTGTTCTTCGAGCTCGGAGAAGGTGGACCTTCTGCTGAAGATGCTGATGAATAAGGAAAGGGACCATTTCCCAGACCTGTGTGTAGCTCTGGAAAAGACACACCCTCACCTGTGTTCCGCACTCTTCATAAACGGCGGAGGACCTCTGGACCATTCTTCGGGTAAGGGTCGTCTTTTTCTATCAGAAGAGAGAGAAGTGGGCTGCCCTCCTCACCGTGCAAAAGGTCCGTTTCTCAAAGCTACAAATGCGCACAAAACTGCTAGTCACGCAGTCGTTAGCTTAAGGGGTCAGCTAAAAATGTTTCGTTGCAATTATTTTTTGGGGGCCAAAACATTAAATTGCCATACGTGAACATTTTAAACACGGTGGGTGGTGTGGTTTGAATTATCTTCTCGTTTTTATAATTGTTTTGCTGGATGATTTCTTTGCCCAAACTATAGATTGCTGGGATGTGTTTTCTCCCATCATTTTTCTGAATGAGTCGTAATGGCAAACGTATAATGTTCACCAGCTCTGTGCCAAGCATGCTATAGAAGTTTGATGTAAGACGTGGTTGTTAAAAATACTTTTGTGCAGAGATTTTTGGGATCTTTCCGCTGCGGTGACGTGCTGTATGATATTAAACAATATACAAATTAGAAAGCGGTGGAGGAATAGTAAACATTCAATTCAAGAGAAGTGCTGCCTTCAAATTAATCGTATATTATGGAAGGAGAATCGTGCACACGTGACCAAGGACACCGCTTTCTCTGGAAACAAACCTGCGTTTTCTCGGTGCTTAGACCATATGACTGGGTTTGCTTTAACAGAAGTTCTCTGCAGTTTATGGAACAGCTGCATAAAAAAAATCTCATTGTCCGATTCATTTCGATAAAATTGTGACTGACATTTTCTATTTGTGAACAACGATAATAAACAGCATTTTCGAGGTTCAGCTTCAGGATAATACAGAAAAGATAGCGTCGTATTTTCTCTGTCCTTGATTCCCAAAGGTTTGTAATACTGTTACTAACATGAAGTAAGAATCCATGTACGTTTTCCTGGGAGCTAATAAATTTCCAGAACGAAAACAACGTCAGCTGGTTTGGAGTGACACTATTTCACAAGCTTTCCTCCTTCCTCCTATTGGATTGTTCATATAAATATTCACATCCAAAGCCCTGTAGCCCTGAAAAGATCCTTACGATTTCTTCGGTCACCTTGTTCAGAAGACGTTCATATTCCTTATGAATGTGCAGTCGGTACAAGTGAAAGTGAGGAAAAGTAATCTTCGCTTTAAAATTTGTCATCCTTTTCCATGTCATCATGGTTTTTATGGCATGGTGTGATGTAGCGTCTTTTACATTTAATCAGACATTAGTATACAGTGATTTTTGGAGGTTATGGAATTCGGTATAAATGAATACAATAGTGTCTTATCCTTTTTGTTTAGTTATGTAATTATGGAGTAAATTATAAAACAGATTTGATCTTTAGAATAAATGATGTTAAGATATACTGTACTGAGCCTTGCCAGTTTTTACCCTGGCAGTACATTTGTTTTGTACTTATAGCAATAATTAAAATCTATGCCGTGGACTTAATTGCAATGTTTTGTTTGAGGGTGGTCTATGAGTTACGAAACTGCAGTTCACCAGCCAATTCCTTTGGGTTTCAAAGTGTAAACATGATAGTTTTTTAAACATGATGCTTCAAGTTAAGTTCCACTAAGATGTTCTTTTTTCATAGTACAGCACACATATCTTATTCTTATTTAAGAGCTGTAAGTGTCAGAGAAATGTTAACCTTTCAAACATTAAGTCAGTGCAAACTGAATAAAGACTATTTCTCATAGCAGTGCAAATTTAAAATGTTTTTTCAAGAAAAATAATAAGCTTGTGCGTGTAAGATTAAGTAAAAGCAGATTTTCATACCTTAGGCAATACTTCACTGTTTTACTTCAGGTTCTCTGGTGTTCTAAATACCTGTCATTAGAAATAAATGCCAGATACTTTGTAGAAATTTCCTTAAGGTTTTTGAGAGCAGTAATATTAACAACTTTGTAATATTACAGAATCTAAACTTTTTAGTGCAACATAATCTACAATGTGGTATATAAGAAGCAAAATTTTAATACAATCAATCTTTTGACATCCATTGCCTTTTTGTAATACTGATGGTTTGCACCTATTTGCACACACGGTATTGTGCTTTGAATGTCTCTAATTACAGATTAACATTTACCAGGATGTTCTTTAGCCAAGTTGCTGATATGGCTGTGTACTGCAACCACAGAGTGACCGCAGCATACTGGTCACTACGGCAACCAGAGACCACCACGGTACCTCAAGGTTTTGGTTCTTGGATTGGAGTCTGTCCTCAACAATATAATGTTGATTTTTTTTGTGGTGTGTGTTTTCCAAACAGGAGCCTGTCTTTTGTATTTTTAAATCTTATACCCCAAAATTAAGGTACACTTCTGAGACTTTGCACAGACCAGATGAGTGGCAGCTTTCCAGGGTGCAGTGTTAACAATGTTTTTCGTGCCTTCTGAGCGTAATTCATATTACGGTGTGATAGTACTGCAGGTCTGTGGCACTCTCCGTTATTGGTTTTAGATTGCAGGGTTTACATTTTAAATAGATATGTCCGTTTTCTGTATGTTAGGCATGGTCGTTTTAGCCTTGTTTATTTAAGAGCTGTGTGTTTTTGACATAAAGGCTAACATTTTGTAGTATGATACTTAGTTTACAATGTGACAGATTTTTTGTTTTGAAACATTAAAATGGAATAGTTTTGTGCCATATTTTGTGCACTACTATCAATCACTTCTTATCCTCCTGGTGTATATGAATTTGTTCGCCACAAGACTCTTTATCAGATGTGATCAGGCAGAATGGTACTGTTATTTGTTGAGCAAGCAAATAATATCAGGAGTTGATTGCGGTTTAAAGCCTTTTGATGATGCTGGTGGAATTCTGAATAATATTGACATTTGTCTGGAATTGACATACTAAAAATTAGACATCCGTTTGCTCCGAAGTCAATGCTTGAAGTTTTAGGCCCGAGTGATGGTGTTCTCTTTTAATGTAGCTGAACTGGGACTGAGCAGAACTGTCATCAGGAGAGCACGGTCTAGTGCATAGTATGTTGTAAAGAGCTCTGCTGAACAGAGGTGTTTCCTGAGATACTCATATTCTCTTCTAGTGCAATCCAGAATTCAAATTCATCTGCAGCTCTTTCATCGTGCTCCCATGAAAACCTGTTCTCCAGGCTGCTAAGATCTTGTAAGGGAAATGTGCTATGCAATGAGGGAAGTTAACCTGAGAATTTATATAAAAACTTAATTCTGCTCTTGCTCTTTAAATGGAAATGCTTTTTTTTCCAACATTACTTTGAGATGTTATATAAGCTTCATGGTGGGTTAAAACATTTTGCTTTAATTTTGTGCAGGCAAATAGTGTCATGTTAGGTGTGCAGTCAGCATGTGTCAATCTAGTCATTTAGCCATGATTAAGTGGGGTGGAAATTAACAGAAAAGCTGGTTAATGTCATTGGTAATAAAATGAGTAACACAGTAACTGAATTATCAGCAGTTTAAACCTCTTGAATCCCATTACACTGTGGACTGGGATAATTCAATGAGCCCAGAGCGACATTAATCAAAGGTGATATTGGGTCTTTACCTTTTTTGCCATATGGGAATGTTCCACATTTCTTAGGATACCAATTATATAAAAAATGAGGAATCTCCTGTCCGATTATGGTGTCCAACTCCGTGTTTGGTGGCAGAGTTGTTTGTCAGGGGTTTCTGTCATGGACCCAGTCCTTAGAGGGGGGGTTGTCTTATGGATTTGCTGAGGGAGGAGAACTTCACCCTCCATTAATGTAGACAACATATTTAGTATTGTCTGCCTGTGTTTATACATGCATGAGATTGGAGCAAGAAGCTGCAAATAGACAAATGGAGGTAAATTCGATGCCAAAACATTTTCGCTTTTGAGGTTTTTAGACCTGCAGGAATGTGAGACCTTGGCACTGGAGTGGTAGCTGGCCCTGAGCATCTGAAAATGGCATTTAAAAAAACCCTAAACCCCCTTTTTCCTCAGAGCACGGCCACTGTATTTCTTCAGAAAAGGGTAACCAGCAAAGCTGGGCTTTCACTTCTGCACTGAAGGATCGATGATTTTCTCTTTGTAAAAAGACTGAAAGTGGTATGCTAAATTAAAAGGGAAACAGTCAATGAGTGGTGGTCTAAGAGCTGTAGCTTTCGGTCATGGTCCTCCATTAATTCAGGAGAAAAGTCAATAAACTTTTAGCCATAAAGTGTCTCTGTCCCATTTTTATGACAGGTCTGTTAGTGTCATTTCAATGATTTTTTCATTGGTTTAATTATTTTTGTTGCAAGTTCAATAAAATCCAAGATTAAATGGAGCCCCACACTTCACAGGGGAGTGTGAGTGCACTGAAGAGCCGCGAGGGTTAAGCATGTGATGGGTGACGAGCGCTGTCCTGTTCGATTAAGCCGGATGAGAAGAGCAGTTCATGAGCCAAAATGACAGCAGTGTCCTCCTCGGCGCCGCAGTCCTGTCAGCCCCCACCGTCTCCAGACACGCTTTGCTCATGACTTTGCTAATAAATGTAATATCTTGTAAAGGCATATTGAGTTTTGCAAGCTACAATATATATAAATTAAAATTCATGTATGATGTAACTCAGAATGGTGGAGAGGACATTTTGACCATTTAATTGTAAGTAACGCAAAACCATTCTAATTTTTCAAGACAGTTGAGGAGCCACAAGACCTAAACTATAGTACAGTTTTGTTAGGCAGGATAAGAGAAATTAAACTACAGTTTGGAAGTACTTGTTTGTTCCCCAATGAGTGCCACCTATGTTTTTTTTTTTCAATTCTGGCAATATTCTCTCTGGCCCCACAGGGCATATAAATCTCCTTTCTCCTGGGAGAGAATCCTGTCATGATTAGGAGGTATTCTTGTTACTTCCTAGCTTTCTCATTTTTGCCTCTCAGTAAGCATTACGATTATCCCCTCAGTAACTGCAAAACGTGCTGTGTAGTCTTATATTGACACAGAGTCAAAAATATACAGGTCTGTAGTTATACTGAGAGCCTTTAAACATAGTGGTAAAAGTATCTGGCCTGTTGAATATAGTGCAGAA